CCCCCGCCCCGCGGGCGGGGCACCCTGCGCGAGCGGGCCAATCGGCGGCGGGGGTTCCCTGGTGGGCGGGGCCTTCCTGGCTCGGGGCGCTCATTGGCCTCGGAGAGCGGAGAGGGCGTGGCTTGCGACACGCGGTGCACCGTGTGCGAGTGCGGAGACCTGTGGTCAGCATGATGTGAATCTGTGCCCCGGGACTCGCGCGGGCCGGGGACCTTCTGCCCGGACCCTCCGCCCGGGACTCCCCACCGAGGACCCCCCGACCCGGACCCTCCGCCCGGGACCCTTCGCCCAAGACCCTCCACCGTCTACCGGGAACCCTCCACCGGGCCTCCCTGGCCAATCCAGGCGTGCGTGGGAGACCCTACGCCAGTGTGGTTCGGCTGGATGAGCGATCCGGAGAGTTTAGCGAGCGGAGCGTTCACATTAGACCAGGAGGATGGGGGTGCGCCCCAGCGTTCACATTAGACTGGAGGGGGGGGTCTCCTCCATCTGGAGACCAGAGCCCTGGGGACCTGAGCCAGAATCCCGTCCCTCCCACCCCAAACACACACACGCACACACCTGCTGTGGTGCCAGTGTGACTACAGACTTGAGTTCCAGACTCCGTTCTGCCGCTCTGTTGCTGAGTGGCCTGTGTAGCTTCCAGAACTTCTATGAACTGGCAGGAAAGGGGGGATGGCAGGATTAGGGAATACCTCTGTGGTCGACATTTGTCTAGCATGGTCAAGGGCCTGGGGTACCTCTTCAGAACCATAGTTTGTGCTTGTAATCCTAGCTCTTCAGTAGGTTGAGATCTGAGGATCAGGGTTCAAAGCCCGCCCAGGGAAGAAAAGCTCACGAGACTGTATTTAACCAGCAGAAAGCTGGAAGTGGAGGTATCACCCAAATAGCAGAGTGTCAGCTATGGGTAAAAATGGCTAAGGGAGAGTGTGAGGCCCAGTGTTCAAGCCCCAGGACCTGCTTGAACACAGGCAGCAGGGGTATGGGGCAGGATCAACCCAGGATGGAGTTTCTGTAATGCTCTGATTTCTCTTTTATTTTGTAATGTACCACACTTTACCAAAATCAACCAATATTGAACATTTACTCTGTGTGTGTGTGTGTGTGTGTGTTTTCCTAACCACACACATTCATTTCCCTCAAGACATTTATTGTTCCTCATTCCTTGTTCATCCTTCTGGAGATTGTCTATAATGCAGACATACTGGGCTTTATTTATTTATTTATTTTGGTGGGTCATGGAGCTTGAATTCAGGGCCTGGGAACTGTCCCCAAACTCTTTCACTCAAGACTAGCATTCTCCCACTTTGAGCCACAGCGTATCTGGTTTTCTTGCAGTTCATTGCAGTACCACTTCTGGTCTTCAGGTGGTTAATTGGAGATGAGAGTCTCCCAGACTTTCCTGCCCAGGCTGGCTTTGAATGCAATCCTCAGATTTCAGCCTTCTGAGTAGCTAGGATTACAGGCATGAGCCACCAGCACCCATCCACGCCGGGCTTTTTTTGGATTTAGTTTTATAATGTAGAATCCGAAGCTGTTTGGGTACAAGTACTTCATTTGTTCCTGGCCTTGATGTTTCTACAAACAAGCATTCCTGGGAATCTCGGACCCCCTTCCAAAGTGAGAAAAAAATGTGAGCTACAAATCGTCTTCATACACAATGATACAGTTTGAGTTTTGTGAGCAACCTTGGAGCAGAAATAGCCCAGGATTGGTGGCACAGCCAGGTTCAGAGGAGGCCCTGACATCGGGGACCCCATGTAAGACCTGTCTTGGCTTCTCCAGGCTCCCCAGGGAGAAAGACATTGGAGCATTCAAACAAGAGGCACTTGGGGAATGGGGCCAGGGCAGCTACGGCTGGAGGCCCTGGCTGGGCTGACACTAATGAGGGGCTAGCCCAGAGGTTGGACCCAGGGTGAGGGGATGGAGGGCAGAGGCCAAGACTCTGGTTCCCAGCCTGAGGCTTGTTTAGGAAGCTCCCCATTCGATATCCCCCTCTTTTCCTTCCTTCCCACCCTATAAGTAATAGGAAACCTGGCCCCTGAGGATGCCCCCCACCTCCAGTCCTTGGTCATTGGGTCCTCTGTCCTAGCTATGCCCAACAGGACACCCAACCCATTCCTCCAGTACCTCTGCCTCTGCTCTGCCCAGCCCTGACCCAAAGCTCCCTGGAATGAGCCACAGATGTTCAGTGATTCAATATGAGCCCTTCTACACAAGACCCCCACAAACAGCTTAGTGAACTTTTGTACATGTCTACACCTATGTCTCCAGCTCCCCTGTGAAGTTCTAGAACATTCCATTCCCAGCAAGCTTCTCCAGCCTTTTCCATCTTCACTGCTCCAATCCCATCTTCATCACCATCCAATCAACTCATCCAATTTTGATACTCTCTCCTTCCTTCCTTTCTCTTTCTCTCTCTCTCTCTCTCTATATATATATACACACACACACACACACACACACACATATATATATATATATATATATAAATTTTTTTGCCAGTCATGGGGCTTGAATTCAGGGCCTGGGCACTGTCCCTGAGCTTTTTTTGCTCAAGGCTAGCACTCTACCACTTGAGCTACAACACCACTTTTTTTCTGAGTATATGGTACTGAGGAATTGAACCCAGGGCTTCATGCATGCTAGGCAAGCACTCTACTACTAAGCCACCTTCCCAGCCCAATTTTGATCTTTAATAATGGGAATCACACAATGTGTGTAGTAATTCCCCAGGTCTCCAGACTTAACTACTTCTGGTTACATATAGCTACATTGCAGGTAACTAGTGGTACATGCCTGTAATCCTGGTTACTCAAGAAGCTGAGATCTGAGGATCGAGTCTTGAAGCCAACCCAGTCAGGAAAGTCCATGAGACTGCTATCTCCAATTAACCACCACCAAAAAGCTGGAAGTGGAGCTGTGGCTCAAGTGGTAGAGCACCAGTCTTAAGTGAAAAAGCTCAGGGACAGTACTCAGGACCTGAGTTAAAGCCCTAAGATTGGCGCACGCACACACACACACACACACACACACACACACACACACACACACACACCCCTCCAAATATATTGAATAGAAAATTCTAGAAATACTTTGTAAGCTTTAGTTTTCATTCTATCCTGAGGGCTGTGATGAAATTTCACATCATCCCCAGCAGGGCTCCATCCTGCTGTGGGTGTGAGCTGTCCTTCATCCTACAGATTTACCCTGAGGAGGGGGTCCCTGGAGGTCACTCTGAGCTGAGGAGTATGGGATGCTGCAGTGATACCCAGCCTTGGTTGTCAGGTTTGGTGTCATGGTGCGTGGAGCATTACCAAGGGTTCCTGGTAGAGAAGGGGGCTGCATTCCATGGGGGGGCATCTGTGTCCTCAGATCAGGGTGGAGGCCCTGCCACATGTCAGCTGCCCACCCACAGATGGACATTTGCTTGGTTTCCTGTCTGGGAATGCTGTGGACAAGGTGGCTGCAAACCTTCTGAGCATTGTTTGGCAGAGGGAAGTGTTTGTTCCTCTTGGGGGAGCATTTAGGAGCGGAATTGCTGCGTCTTAAGGGGTGGGACTTGGACCAGGGGATCTCAGTAAACAACAGCAGTCCAGACTGCATGCTCTTGAGTTATCACTCCCCACAGCAGCTGCCAGTGTCTCTTCCAACTCCCTCCAGCAACTGTGCAGCAGAAATTCACTCCAGGCCAGGATGGCTTTCATCTCTTCTCCCTTTGTGAGGTGGGGTCCATCTCTTACAATTGAAGGGCCCACTGGCCCTTCAGCTAAGAGAAAAACATTTCCCCTAAAGGAATACTGAAGTGGGCATAATAGCACACTCCTGCAATTCCAGCACAGGGGAGGCTAAGACAGGAGAATCAAGAGTTTGAAGCCAGCTCAGGCTACATACTGAGAAACAAACAAATGCACACACACACACACACACACACACAAAACAAAACAACAACTAGGGAACACAGAATTGCCTTCCTATGGACACTTGGGGACTATGGCCTGGAGCACTGCCCCTCCTCACAAGATAGGGGGCCCCAGCCAGAGCTCAGCACCCACATAGCCTAAGGAGGATGGTAGGGAGCTGAAACTGCAAGAAGGGGGTCGGGAGGGACCAGATAGGGACACATGTCCTCACTTTGAGGACTGAGCCCATAGATGAAGGCCTGTCTGCTTGCTGACTCCCACGCCAGGGCCTTAGCTGGGGTGAGAGTTCCTCTGGGGGCCATATGGAATTCAGGACTGGTTCATTCACTCACCCCAGCTGCCAGCCATAGACCTGACACAGTCAAGCTGGGGATAACCCAGACAGAGATCTCCACTATCCCATTCCCAGCCTTCTCTGGGCCGTGACCCCGGAGTGGTGAGTGGAAGGGCTCGGCGACCAGAGGTGCTGCTGTCCCCACCCCGCCTTGGCCCTCAGCCCAGACTCAGGTTCCTCTCTTCCCAGAACTCTATCCCCTGAGTGGCGTTGCGTGCCTGACCTTCATTAACCTTCTGAACCTTCCAGAAACAATTGGAAATGCCCTGCCTCATTTCTGTTCCCCTACCCCCTGAAGCCAGTGGTATGGATGGGGAAGGTAAGGACCACCAGGGCTGCTGCTGGAAATCAGAGATCTGGGGGTCCCGGGGAACTGTCCTGGGAGGGGGCTCTGCCATCTTGGACCAGATTCACACAGCAGAAGGTAGGTCTCCAGACTTCCTTGCGGCCTACCTGCCCTCCGTGGCCTGGCTGGCCCTCCTACGTCAGCTGGCCGAGTGCTGGGATTGCAGGCATGCACTTCCAC